ATAATGAACCCAAAAGCATTCTAGAAGAGTAGATAATTTCCAGCAAGCAATTTGGAAACATGGACTTCAGGACAGCAGTAGATTTCTTAATTATTAATTTAAACTAAAAAAAAAATATTTTTTTTCCATATGGGTTTGGAAAATCATGTAAGTATTGAGTAATTTTTTCTTCTACCAATTCTTTATATTACAAACTTTTAGGAATGAAAAATGTAAAAAATTCCTGAGGGACATGAAACTTCATAAATAAACTAGTATGCTGCTGTGAAGAGGTAGAAAGATTTGCATTCCATATTCGTTGAGTTATAATTTGAATTGTAAAAATTTACAGAAAGTGTGAGATTAAAAACAAAAGCTTTTTCTAGGATTCTAAAAAAAAAACATGAATATCGGCTATTTTCCGTTATTTTAGTTTTAGTTCGAAAAGAATTAAAAGTTTTTTTTTAAATAAAAAGTAAATGCTATATTTTTTAGTGTAATTAGTGCAGCGTAAACATTAAAATACGGAATTATAACTTTCTTATATATATATATATATATATATATATTCTCATAAATAATAAATATATAAGTAATTCTCATAAATTATCAAAATAACAGAAAATTTGAAAGATTATTAAGGCAAGCTAAAAGATTCTTTTCGTATAAATTTTCTTCATAGAAAGTTAAGTATAAAAAAACAGATTCATTGATAAACAACTTGAAAGCTTTTTTTTAATTTTAAACTTAAAAATATGAGTAAATAAATTTTTAATAGTTCATTTTAAAATAAAATGTATTTTTAAAAAATAATGGAAAAATTTTAAATCACTAAAAAAATTCATAAATGTACGCTCCCCCCCCCCCCCCCCCGTTCAAAAAAAATGCAAATAGAATAAGAGAATAATCCTAACAAAGTAAATATTTTTAATAATAATCAGAATAAATGTATTTATCATGAATTTTTAATTTAATTTACAATTGAAATAATTAATATTTCCAGCATGTAAGTATTATTTACTACGCTATTTCTACATGAATTTTCTTCTTTTTTACTCCCTGAAAAAGCAAGAAAAAATATTAAACATGAAATTTTTTCTTTGTGACATACTTTAAATGACAAAATACCAATTTTGAATTTTTCCCGATTTTTTCAATTTACGAACTTTGATTAAAATTTTTTAGTTTTGTTTTTTATACTAAAATATAATCTTATAGTATGAAATCTCTATAAATACATATTAGAGAGACATTATAATAATATTATATTTATGTAAAAATCGTTTTATCTGAATAAACGGCTCAGATTTATCTGAGTATGTCAGAAAGAGTATGTCACATTTAAAGTATGTCACAAAGAAAAAATTTCATGTTCACGAATTTTTCTCACCTTTTTAGGGTGTAAGGAAGAAGAAAATTCATGTAGAAATAGCGTGCCTCCCAAAAAATTTTTTATTATTTTTTTGCCGCCTAACTGGCGTTTATTTGTAGAACTGATACCGTTTTATAACCGTTGTTTTGAACAGCCGACTCAAATTTTGAGTCTGCGACTATTAATGTTTAACTCCGTAGCCTTTTAATTTTGAACTCAATCCAGAAGGCAAGGGGACTCATGGTACAAGTATTGGGTGAAATTTGCCTTCGTGGAGGACTTTTTTTATGGAACTTTCCCGTTTTGCGTTACATGGAGAGAAAAACCCCGAAAGCTTTCCACGGTTAGCATGACGGCAAGGGGACTCTAACCCATTATCAGTCTACCACTGAGGATACTCCAAGATGCGTCTACCACTGATCCGTCTTCCACTATGGAAGAGCCTTAGCTCCTGGTTTATCCTGCCCTAATACAGTCTAATTGCCATTGCTCGGTATATTCTGCATTTAGCTAAAAGTTCAGTTCCACTAATCAGTACATCATAAACTTATTTTTTTTAAAGGTTAAGTGCCACTGCCCGGTATACATTTGTCCACTATACTCTACACAAAGGTTATTTTAAAGCTAAGTGTGCCCGGTGCACATTTCTCCGGTATACCCAAATCTGATTTTTTCTTTAAGGTTAAGTGTCATTGCGTCTAGTTGAGGCTATGAGTTGCCTTTATAATCCCGAACTCGCTCGCTGCGATTTGGATATTTTTTACGGCCCTTTAATGAAACTGTACCTCGTATACTTATAGCGTTTTTTGCTTTACAGGAATATTTCATTATGTTGCATTATTTTTTATTTATGTTGCATTATTTTATAACAAATTTTATGGTAATTGAAATTTAAAAAAGAAGTTCAATAAATTCAGTTAAGAAGTAGTACATTATGAATAATATTAAATAATAGTAATTTTGAAATACTTCACTAAATCATGCGTGTTGTTGATTCATTTGTACACCTTCTTTGCATCGCTCTGAAAAATAAATATTCTTGCCCTTCTTAATTGCTCAATTTAAATAACTTTTTCAGAATTAAATTATCTTGCAAAAAATATTCCCAAAATTGTCTTGTTGATGCTGTACCAAATGCTAAGTTAAGGATACAGTTAATATGTATAACAAGTGAGATTTTTATAAATAACAGAGCACATTTTATCACTAAACATATTGAATCTAACAATTCTACCACTTTAGATGATTTTTCATATGATGTCACCAGAACTAAATAAACAGCAAGAAATTCCTTAGGTTATGATACAATTTAAACTTGTTCAGTTATTAATTCTACAACGGAGAGTTTGTACTGTTTAGAGAGAGTTCTGTTTAGGGCTGGACTGGAATGACATTCATTCCTCTCCCATTCTGGTTTCGGATTTTCTGAATATCAACGGATTCATTGATCTGCTCTGACCCCGTCAGACCAGATGGGAATTAGCAACAACGACAACAACAACAACGGAGAGTTTAAATTTTTTTAAAAACCAAAACCACGTTTTATATTTCCCTGTAAAGGACTCACTACGTTTCTTCACACTGACTCGGCTTGAATCAGTTCACTCCAAATCAGTACTGAAAATGTCACCTGATTTTAATCTATCTCGTTGTACTGATTTTTATTACTGCTTTTGTCAACCTGATTTCTTCTGACCAAAGCTAGCGGGGCTTATCCCTTGCATTTTCCCTCTTGATTTGATTTTGACTATTTTTGATATATAAAATTATGTTGTATCGGTAGGCTGGTTGGAGCCACTTTTGCAGCAAGTATATGACAATTGGACTACAATAGCCTGCCCAGTAATCGATGTGATTAAAGATGATACATTTCAGTACATGTTCCGAGAATCAACAGAATTTGCAATTGGTGGTTTCACTTGGGACTTACAATTTGATTGGCGTCTCATTCCACGCAGAGAATTGGAGCGTAGGAAGCATCATTGGAATCCAGTGAGGTACGTTAATTATTAAGTATCCTATAACATTTTATACGGTTGTAGAAAGTATACTTCCTATCGACTTCATTAATTTTTAAATGACGACGGGAGGTCATTTTCCCATCTATGATTTGGGCAACCGTCTGCTTATAACTTTAGAAAATACGAAAAAAAAAATTAATTGAAGAGCTTTGTTTACATAAATATGCATAATAGAAAAGGTTAACATGCGTTCATAAAGAAGGGCAAATACCGGGGAGCTATTTTCTCTTATGCGTTAGGTATTCATTTAATTGCACATTTCTCATCGAGTTTACTTTTAGTTACAATCATTAAATGGAAAACCGATCGGCCTGTGTAGGAGGCAGGGAGCTGTCTTTGCATCAGAAAGGTCCTGTGTTCGAATCCCGGGCAAGGCATGGATGTTTCTTTCTCTCTCTATGTGCGTTCTACGTCCGTTCTCCTTTGTGTGTGTGAATGTGACTCGCCCTATAAACGGGATTGTGGTTGCGTGAATGTAAGGCAAAAGTCGAATTCTAGGCCATAGATGGCGCCACTGAAAAACAAGAAAAAGTACCCCCTCTGCCTAAATAGTCATATGAAAAAAAAATTAAATTAAAAAATTCAGTTATTTATAATTCTACAAAGGGTAAAATTAATCTTTAAGCTTTGAAGTATAAATTGAAGACGCAATACCCAAAGAGAACTCTTCGAAACATTTCGATCTTGTAAATTGTAAAGGTCTTTTAAGACCGATCTAAATATATTTACATTTCAAAGAATGTGGAAACAGATATATAAACTGTTTCTGCACAAATTGATTTATTTTATTAATCAAAAAGTGAAAAATCCCATGAAACAGTATACGTTCTTTCATCGCTTTATTTTTTAAAACTTTCTTTATGGAAAAAATTATCACTTAATACTTAAAATAATTTTTTGCTTGTCATTTTGAGATTTTAATGTTTATTATTTGAGTTATTTACCATAATTAAAAAAGATGTAGCTAAACCAAGAGCTTTGATACTTAAATTTAAGATACTTAAAAGAATGTTACTGAATGAAATGCGCAATGAACAAATAACACCATATATTTAACCCTATTTAATTACTAAATATTTCTTGAATAGTGATAAATTTGCTCAACACTTGAATTTTAGAAGGAAATTTGATTTCTGGATCATTCCTTACTAGATCGATATCAATGTTTGATGCCGGAAACTTAGCTATTCTACTATTACAGAAAGTTTAATATTGAACTTCACCGTTTGTTTTAGTTTCGCTCACAAAAAGAATCCCACAAAATATTTCAAATTAATATTATGTAAAAACACTAAAAATGCACGTTTTGGAAAATTAAAAAGAAAAAAAAACTCACTGTGGAAAGCAATCGATTTCAAGAAGTTCCAAAATTATCGTCTGCCTATTTAAAATTGATCTTGTTGATCTGTTTTTTTATTAATGAATCTTAGCATGATTCTATATGATTCTTACGACTCCTTATTCCTTTGATTTATCTTAGTGATTATGGTGGTGAAATTAATCTAATAAAAGAGCGCGCGGAGATGAAAAATCTAGAATAACACCAATTTATCTAGTTCACCAGCGTGTTCTTAACTTTTCAATATAAGTAACTTATAACGATATAATCTGTTTTAAAATGCAGTTAAGATTTTATCTCATTACTGATCAACACAGAAATAGGTTCAATGTTTTAATTCAATAGAAGAAGAACAAAGTGTTTCAAAAAAGTAATCAAAAGAGGAAAAAGAGGGTTACCTTAAACTCTTTTCTGGAATAAGGAAAAGCTTCACATATTTCGTCATATTTCACCAGATGCGTTTGGTTCTCAGCTTTCACTCCTAAAATTAGCCGAATTTAGTGATAAGAAGCTTAATTTTCAAAATCACTGGAAAATGATATAAACTGGCTGTAGCAACCATAGTAGTGCTTTGAGTTAAGCTTCGCCGCGAGTATTCTCGAATTGTGTGCAGACAAGAAAGAGCCCAAAGCAACAATCATTTGATGCACCAATCAAAACGATGAGAAGTGAGCATGAATTAGCGAATAAACTGTACCTTTTTAAGTTTTGAATGCTGGAATACAACGAATTCTTTGTTGCTACAGTACCAATATTTTTTTACGTCACGTTTCGCTTTTTTTTCCCAGACAAGAGACACAAAAGTACGGTGAATTGCTGATAGACAGATTAAGCTCTTTAAATCTAAAAATATAACATTATTTTTCAGATTGTTTTCAAAATTTTCTAATAGAAATAATGTTTTATCAAGAAATCTCACTTCTTATAAGAAAAACTAGCAATTTACCCTGCATATAATGACATAAACAATTTGATAAAATTTAGAAGTACAGCTAAAGTAATTATTGAACTAAACGGTTTTTAAACAATATCTTTGCGTATAATAAATACAAACTGTAGAAATAAGGAAACCGAAGTATAGGTCGTATCCAATCCTTAAATCGAGGGACTTGGGGAAATATAGTGATAATCCAAATTGTTTTCCAAAATTGTCATTTTTATATCAATTTGTTTCATAGTATATTTCCAGATAATATTTTACAAGTTTTTAAATCTTCACTAAATAAATAAACAATACACATAAATATTATTTTCAAGGAAAGCGCATTGTTTTTCATCAAAAATTTGATAGACAATTTCCCACTTCTTTCTAACGTTTCTAATTTATATAACTTGTACCGCAACTACGAAACATCATTTTGAGATAAAGACAAAAAAAAAAAAAAAAAAAAAAAAAAAAAAAAAAAANTTTTGAAAAAAAAAAAAAAAAAAAAAAAATACTTCAAGCATCGGTCATGCCTTGACATTTGTCAAGCCGTGAAGACGTAAATTGAACTTTAAACTTAAACTTTTAATTTATAGAACTAAAACTTTAAAAAAAATAGAAATAAAGAAAAAAGAAATCGTTTTAGGTGACATTTAAGAGACTAAACTGCTGAGCTGAATTTAAGTATTTTGCTCCTCAGATACAAACTGTTTAATTTTTTAGAAGGATATATTTAAAATAAATTAAAAGAAAATCTCGACGTTCATAATACCCATTCAAATCTTTCCTCATTTATTTTGTTCTTCTAACCTTTTATTCCAATTTTATTTCTCTCAATAAATTAATCATTCATTTTTTAATTTACAATGTTTTTCATTTATCTAAATCCTTTTTTCATCCTTATCAATTTTATTTCATTATTAGATTTATCTAGATTCGTTTGTTTTATAACTTTTTTTATATACTCGGACGTTTTCCATTAATGTAATACCCGTTTCGCATTAATTTCCTGCTTTTTTCTTTTTCTTTCACGCATTTCTTACTATTCCCCCCCCCCATTTTTAATTTAATTTTTCAACTTTTCGCTTTTATCTTTTCTCATTGTGGTCTGTATGACTAAAAATAAAGTCAATATGTGTCTGGATTTACTACTTATTTAAATATTCTTTAGATTTGAATGAAATGTGGATTGAATGCTAAATATTTGCTATTAAGAATATAATTGCCGTTGCCAAATTGCAGTTTCTATAAAATGCAAAGAAATTGATATTTTCAAATATATGGGAAAATTAAAACTGGAAATTAAAATATATATATATATGCTTTCATTTGAATACAATTTTAATTGTGTAGTGGCTTACAAGAGGTGGTGAAATCGTAATTTCTAATCAGTGTTTATGTGAAGGAAGAATCTACATTTTGATAGTCACAAATTTGACTACGGTAAAGAAATGCTAAATAAAAATATTGCATTAAAAGGTTATAATAAAAAGGTTGTATCTAAGATTATAAGTAGGATTAAGGTTTAAGACCCACGCTGACGAAATAGAAAAGGCTATTCAGGGCATGAAATCTGAAATTCTGAAACATTTCTGTTAATTATCACTTAAAATTTTTTCAGTTTACAATAAATGTGTTTATTTTTATATGCAAGACATCAAACTTGATTGCGAGATATATATATATATATATATATATATGTATATATATATATATATGTATATATATATATATATATATATATATATATATATATATATATATATATATATATATATATATATATATATATATATATATATATATATATATATATATATATATATATATATATATATATATATATATATATATATATATATATATATATATATATATATATATATATATATATATATATATATATATATATATATATATATATATATATATATATATATATATATATATATATATATATATATATATATATATATATATATATATATATATATATATATATATATATATATATATATATATATATATATATATATATATATATATATATATATATATATATATATATATATATATATATATATATATATATATATATATATATATATATATATATATATATATATATATATATATATATATATATATATATATATATATATATATATATATATATATATATATATATATATATATATATATATATATATATATATATATATATATATATATATATATATATATATATATATATATATATATATATATATATATATATATATATATATATATATATATATATATATATATATATATATATATATATATATATATATATATATATATATATATATATATATATATATATATATATATATATATATATATATATATATATATATATATATATATATATATATATATATATATATATATATATATATATATATATATATATATATATATATATATATATATATATATATATATATATATATATATATATATATATATATATATATATATATATATATATATATATATATATATATATATATATATATATATATATATATATATATATATATATATATATATATATATATATATATATATATATATATATATATATATATATATATATATATATATATATATATATATATATATATATATATATATATATATATATATATATATATATATATATATATATATATATATATATATATATATATATATATATATATATATATATATATATATATATATATATATATATATATATATATATATATATATATATATATATATATATATATATATATATATATATATATATATATATATATATATATATATATATATATATATATATATATATATATATATATATATATATATATATATATATATATATATATATATATATATATATATATATATATATATATATATATATATATATATATATATATATATATATATATATATATATATATATATATATATATATATATATATATATATATATATATATATATATATATATATATATATATATATATATATATATATATATATATATATATATATATATATATATATATATATATATATATATATATATATATATATATATATATATATATATATATATATATATATATATATATATATATATATATATATATATATATATATATATATATATATATATATATATATATATATATATATATATATATATATATATATATATATATATATATATATATATATATATATATATATATATATATATATATATATATATATATATATATATATATATATATATATATATATATATATATATATATATATATATATATATATATATATATATATATATATATATATATATATATATATATATATATATATATATATATATATATATATATATATATATATATATATATATATATATATATATATATATANTATATATATATATATATATATATGAACATGGTATGGTATGTTTTACCAATATGATTTTAAATAAAAAATCTTGAAAAATTGTCAATGGATGGCAGTTCCAGTCCTACCTCTCTGCCAAACTTTCAGAACAATGAGTCATTTTGTTGCTCTATTCTGGCAATTTCTTTGAATCAGCAGGTGTTGTATATACTTTTATCACTGGCTTCTTCAAGTGAAAACATAGTATAAATCAACTAATAAGCAGTATAAATCAACTAACATAGTATAAATCAACATAGTATAAATCAACATAGTATAAATTAACTAATTGCAGACCATTATATGAACTTAATAAAATATTTCTTCACTTTATGATATTTTTTTAAAAAATATCATAAAGTGAAGAAATATTTTATTAAAAAATCTCAAAAATTCTATTAGAGAAGGAAAAGACTATTCAAACACATGGACTTCTTTACTGGGAGAAATTTATGACATTTTTTGAAAAATAAAGAAATAAAAAAATTTGTTCACATGTGCCCCCTTCTCCCCTACATATCACTGATTTCCTCTCCAAATGTGCCATTCAAGTCATATCCAAATTTCACTGACCTCCGTCAATGAAATTTGTAGGTCAAAATAGAATAACTTCTATATTGGCAGAAATGTAATAACTTCTAGTAATAAATCTGTATTACAATATGTATCGAATGTCTGATAGTTTAACCGTTTTGCAAAGCAACATGTTTCAAATGTATCATAGTTTAACAATTTTGTAAAGCAATCTATATCAAATGTAAGATACTCTAACCATTATGTATTTATATACGTATCGAATGCATGATAAATTCATAAAACGTTGCAATTGCGATCATTAGCGACAACAATAAATGTGCTAATATGGCGTATAATATCTGAAACGATAATTATTAAATATGATATTATCTAACTCTTAAAATGTTAATGAGTTTTTATAAAAAAATATCTCAATTAAATTATGTTTCCTTACGATGTAATGCGATATTAAAATCCCAGCATTATTCAACACAACCGGATATTATTTAAATTGTAGGCTTGGATGTGTGGAGGATCGATAGAAATAATCCCTTGCTCTCATGTTGGTCATGTGTTTCGAACAAGAATGCCTTATTCTATGGTTAATGGGGAAAAAGCATTTCGCCAAAATTGTCTCCGATTGGCTGAAGTTTGGATGGATGAGTACAAGCAATTTTTCTATCGAAGATTAAGGATTAACTTAGTAAGTTTTTACATCGCGTAGCTGCATTATTTTTTGAGGGTAGCTTCTATGTTATGCTTTTCTTTTCTTTCTCTTTAACCTTGCATGCTTGTTAAGATGCCTAAAAAGAAGAAGGTTTAGGCAAAATCGTTTTTAAAGGATTATTTTCTTAATAGTTCCGAAAAATAAAATAATTAACAATCTCTCCAAAATTACCTTTCATGATCAGAATGAAAAGATGGTACAATTGTTAGATGTTATTAAAAAACAGGATTATCTAAAAGGTAAGTAATTTTGAAAAAAAATTGTTTTCCTTTTGATAGTTTGGAAAAAAAATTCAGTATTTTAAAATTTATATTGTACTTTTGGTTTTCCTGAACTCCCTGTTTTTCTCTACTTAAAGTTTCAAATAACTGAGGCAACTTAAACGAAATTTACGAGGGAACTTCTCAAGTACAAAATTCCTCCACATTTACAGTACTAATAGTAATGAAATAATTCCCTGGAGTGTGTTTTTACCACAGTTTCTGTTACTTTTGCAAGAAAGTTTAAGGTACATATTGCGGTTTAATCCTTATTTATGATATGTGCTTAAACCATTTTACATTTGAGATACAAGTTTATAAATAGTGAAACTCCTTGATTTTGTCGAACGTATTTTTATGTTAGTTCACTGTGAAGAATTTTTGTGAATCTTAATACCAAGAATTAGCGTTTGTTTTACACCACTTTAGACTTGACTTCAAAATGATGTAGAACCAAAGACAATTCCTAGCGTAGTAAAATACCAAGAGTGTGCTTTACACATTTTAGTGTACCAATGTTATTATTCTGTAACACAATAGTTTCAGCTTTTCTGCGATTTTGACGGGGAAGGAGAAATCCAGGAGTTTTCGTTCGAAACTCAAACTCAAATTCTATGTTACTTCGTAAGACCTGTATACCTTTCAATTCAAAAATTTTTCGACTATTATAAAAAAAAGTAATAAAAAAGTAATTAACTATTAAAAATAATTTTTTTTTGCATGGAATTAACTTTGAATAAACGAATAATTATGTGCAAAATATTTTCAATTCGCTAAAACTTTTCTCGAGACATACGCAAACAGTAAAACTAGAGCCTTTGAATTAGACAGGCTGACTTATCATCTATTTTTGGAGCAAAGAGCTAACATAAGCACAATACTAACATAACGTTAACTTGCGAACTTGTTTGCTCCAATATTGCTTGATAGGTCAGCTCTGATAGTATAGGAGCCTTAAGTAAAACTAACATTAAGAGATTCAAACTTTTAAAAGCTCTCGTGACCATTCTATTGGAAGAATATTTTCCAGATGGCGGATATTACCCATATTTTGAGGGTGAAAAAATTTAAATCCGTCCTGAAGAAGGCATGTTTATTTCCCAAATTGTTTCCAGATAGTTTTACTCAAATTGCGACTACCCTCTATATTTCGGGGGTCAGAAATCTGAATTCGTCGAAAAAAACAAAGTCTGTTTAATCAGAGAAAGTACATTTTTGTATCTGATTCCGTAATTATAAATATTGTCTGCACTAACTAGTTAGCATATTCGAGGTCACCTCCGTGAACCATTAAGTTTGAGTCCTTGTATGTGAAAAATCATTGGATCAAAAGTTAGGGTGATGCGTTTTCATTTCTGCGCACTACAATTGCTTAAGCTATAATTAACTGTGACTAAAGTATGCAGATATAAAAAATTCAAAAACATTTTATTTGTTTCGTGACAAATGAATAATTTGATGATGTGGATGAAATAATGTGGAGTGAGAAGTGCAAGGAAATAATGACAGGTAAAATTAGGCCGAAGTTAAATAATTGATTTCTATTCCAATACAAAATCCCTTGCTATAGTTCTAGACTAATGCAAGAATATTTTTCCAAACACATAGTGTTTGTTTTAAAGAGAATATGAGATTCATAGGACTGGTCTTGAGTTCCATAATCTGAAAGCAAGAACTCGTTAAAATTACCGAGTGAGAAGAAATTAAGTTTATTGACTCAAGTACGGTATAGGAATAAAATTATTCTAGAAAATGCAAAGGTCTAGAAAAACTAGTACCCGAGCAAGTGAAAATAAATTTTATACGCCTTATGAAAAGTATAATATTAAGGTATAAAAAGAATTAAAAGTATAAAATTTTATAAGAGCCATGTCATAAAAAGAACTAGAAGGAGTACAAAGTATTAAAAATAAATTGGTGTTTTTGAGAATATGGGATTTATTCAAGAAATTTACACGTTACTCTAAGGTTTTATCTGTAAAACACTTTTCGCTTTTTTTGCAATAGAGTTCAAGGGCTGACTCTTAAAGTGTATTTAATTATCTTTTTTCTTTCTTTCTTTCTTTCAACTTCTAATAGACGTATAAAAGTTTTGTCTAATATTAAAAAGAGTTACTCTTGCAAAAAATACATAAATAAATATCTAAATAAAAATGTATAATATTTAATACTTACTAATTTTTGCTTATAATACTTCGTTCTTTTTTATTTACAGGTAACTGTTGCGAAATCTGTAAGTATTTTCATTTTATTTCATAATGTTTTTTGAATATGAATTTTCAATTAATGACATCTTGTACCAATCACAAACAATTTTACTAATGCCTTAACACTTCTCTTTTAACATCGATTGTCTAAAAAAAATCTCTCATAACTTTTCGATGATGATTAAGTTTAGTTTTGAGTAGAAATAATAATACCATAGCGCAATTAGTAAAAATTATTGAATTATAACTGCAGTACATTTATTTCGATTATTTTTATTTTTATTTTAATTTTTCCAAAAAATTTAAAAAAAATTATGTCTATCTTTTAGAAGGATATTTAAAATTTTTTGTTCTTATATTTAACGACAAGAAGGCTTTCTATGAGTTAGAAAGATGTATCAGTCAATGTCAAGATGACAAATTATGTGTCCCAAAGTAACCTCAAAACACACACTCCATTTTTCGGAAATGCTTACTAGGTATTTATGAAACTGAAATTAAAAACATACTTTTCTCAGAAAAAAATATACTGTTTTTAAATTTCACAATCTATATTATCAAAGTATGGGTAGTAAGCTCAATTTGGAAGATATGAGAGAGGAAGAACTGGTAACTAAGGAAAAAAAAAATGATATACGCCGGATTTAACCAATTATTTAGTAAATTTCACAGTTCATATAGTCAATGGTTTATCAGAAATTCTGGATTTAAAAATTATAATTCTTATTACCACACACTTAGTAAAAAATATAAAACTAAAAAGTAAATTTAAGAGATTAAATGGTTTCAATGCCACGCTCTAATGCACCATGAAAAAATTCCCAAATTTTATAGCACATATTGTAAAACTATATTTTCTTATTAATTTTAAATTCGAACCAAAGCGCATTGATAGAAATTACCCAGCTTTTTTCGGCGTTTCCATAGAACCTCAAATTTTATCTTATTCTGGTAGTTTTGAATATATTTTTTTCTTACCGTATCAGTTTACTCAGAAAAGGGGGTAAAAATTTAAGCACCTAAATACTAATTTCTCTTTTAGAGTGTTTCGCCTTTTTCCAACATTTTTTTAGGTAAACTGGGAACCTTTTACATTTAATTATCCAAAGACAATTTCGAATGAAAATAATTTTTAATTATAATTTATTATTAATATTTTTTTAATGATCGCTGAAAATTATTTGAATAATTTTGAATAATTATTCAATTGTATATTGAAAATTATTTGAATAATTTGAATAATTTTTAGAGACAAAATAGGAAATTTGAAACTAATCGGTATAGAAGTACTTGAGAAATGAAAAATTAAATTAAAAGGTCTGGTTTCTTAGGACAAGCGCCTTATCTGGGCGTCGGCGCGACGCCAACGTCACGCTGACGCCAACAAAATACTGGTTTGTTAGCTCAAGGCCTGGTTTCTTAGAACTAGCGCCTTATCTGGGCGTCAGCGGAAAGTTGACGTAGATCTGACGCCAAAAAAATACTTTTTTGTTAGCTCAGCGTGAGCAGTCGGTCTAACGCAGACATTATCTCTCATTGCGCATGCGTTAATAACGTAAACAGATATTTATTTTGAATTTGCATTGATTTTGTTATTGTCGACCAGTGTTTTAGAGAGCAAATAATGACTTTGTCCAAGAAAAAACACATTATAGCTGAGCTAAATGAAGAGTGCTATGTTTAATGAAGAAGCTATGTTTAATGTCAAAATCAAAATCTTGGCTGATTTCAATGCGCTGTTGGATGTTGTCCGCCATTGCTTCTGTGGTTAACGTCACGTTGTAATCCAACTGCAGTTGAGTTGGACGGCAATTGTAGTTCAAGATGAGCGTTCGATGACGTATACTATCAAACTCACAAATGGACCAATCAGAGGTTAACGCTGATTTCCAGCTGACGGCGTCCTGTCCTAAGAAACCAAGCCTTTAGAACTAGCGCCTTATATGGGCGTCAGCGGAAAGTTGACGTAGAGCTAACGCCAAAAAAATTTTTTTTTGTTAGCTCAGCGTGAGCAGTTCGTCCAACGCAGACATTATCTCTCATTGCGCATGCGTTGATAACGTAAACAAATATTTATTTTGAATTTATATTGATTTTGTTATTGTCGACCAGTGTTTTAGAGAGCAAATAATGACTTTGTCCAAGAAGAAATACATTATAGCTGAGCTAAATGAAGAGTGCTATGCTTAATGAAGAAGCTATGTTTAATGTCAAAGTCAAAATCTTGGCTGATTTCAATGTGCTGTTGGATGTTGTCCGCCATTGCTTCTGTGGTTAACGTCACGTTGTAATCCAACTGCAGTTGAGTTGGACGGCAATTGTAGTTCAAGATGAGCGTTCGATGACGTATACTATCAAGCTCACAAATGGACCAATCAAAGGTTAGCGCTGATTTCCAGCTGACGGCGTGTTGTCCTAAGAAACCAGGCCTTAACGACTTTTTTAACTCAACGTCTATTCGTCCGCTGCCGAGCAAATTTTTTTTTTGTCATTTTAAATTGCCTTGTTTAAAATAATATAGAAATATGCAAATCTTACAACTCATATTTTTCTTCGATAATTATTAAATAAAGTTATAAATAAATATTATTTTATTATTGAAAAGTATAAGAAATTGGCAATTATTTCACTTTTTTGCTTAAAATTATGTTTAGATTATTGTATAAAAATGTTTTTGATTCGCTGAAAAAGTTCCCTACACAGAGATTTTTTCATAAGACTACAGTACCGTATAGGAATGACATTTCTGCCCAAAAAAGGACTCAATTTTGGTTACTGAAGCCGAAATATATGGTTCATTGCTATTTTTTCGGTTCAAATGGTACGGTTTATCAAAATTCAAATTTTCCAAATAGTTTTTATTACCACATATTTTGAAAATAATGCAGAAATGAAAAGTAAATTTAACCAAATAAATGGTAGTTTGAGGAATGTTCTAAGATATCATGATTTAATCAACTTTTACCACATTTACCAAAGTTTATCACCTATATTATAAAACCATATTTTATTGTTAATTTTGCGAAAATCATTATTACAGCACTTCAGTAAAAATTATCGTGCTTTTTGGAATTCTATAGATCCAGAAACATGCTAAATTCTGGTAGTTTTGACAATGCTTTTATCTCAGTATAGATATTGCGAAATACTCAAAAAGACTCAAAGAGCTCTACTGAGAAAACCATATTTCGGCTACTCTTCATATTTTGTTTCTTATCGATCGAAAAAAGAAAAGGCTTGTTTATTTAGAGATTTAAGTTAGATTTTGAACTTAATTAATAGTTAAAACTAATTGTTTAAGGTAACTATTGTTAAGGTAAGGTATATATAAGGTAAATTCATTAAATCATTAACTTTGAAAATTAAGACGTTGATTACTAGGACAGAGGTTATTTAGCGTGATATCTCTTATTTATTTTTTTTTACTTCACATTGAAATTTAAATATATTGAAATTGTATTGATAATTTTCCGATCAGTTAAATTCTGTAATAAAGTTATTAAAAATTTCAAATCAGTAGTTTGGTTGAATAAAAAAGAAACTTTACTTTGGGTATCTTAGGAGGCATTGAAACCACCAAACAAAGGAAATATTTGTGGAATTATTTTGTCATTTGAAATTATTTGTTATGAAACTATTTTTGAAAATTAATTTTATGAGGCATCACGGATTAGGCAACTTTTGTGAACTTCAAATAATAATTAAAACTAGTTTAAGTAATTAAGTTAACTAAAAGTAATTTTTTATTTTATATGTTAAATGAGTGGTTGTTTCCTTCTAATTTCTTTCGGTATTATATAATTTTATAGGATTTTGGAGACATTTCTCATAGAATAGAGATGAGAAAAAACCTGAATTGTAAATCATTTGAGTGGTATTTGGAGAATGTTTTACCAGAGCAGTACATTCCTGATGATGCAGCTGCTGAAGGCCAAGTATAATTATTTTAAATTGTTTAAAATGACATCTTTTTACTGTACAAAATATTTCTTTAAATGAAAATTACTATCTGATTTAAAATTGCATTAAGCAATTAAACCTATCCTTAAGTAATTGTAAAAGAAGACATTTCTATTGACAAAAATTATTATTTGATTTGAAACTGAATTAATTAATAAAAATAATATACTACTACTAAACATTTTTATTAAAAAAAGCATTTCCTTTAATTAAAACTATTATCTAATTTGAAACAGCTTTAACTTATTAAGTATCGGTGATCACATTCTTAATACAAACGGTAATTACTGTTAGAATTTTCTCTGGAAAAATGGTTAAATATCATGTAATTGTTATTTTACTATATTCAAACAAAACAGTCAAATAATCGTATATAAGATGGTATTCAAACTGTTAACTATAAGAAAAATTGTTTAGTAACTGCTTTCACCTAATACGGTTAAACAACTAGAATTTTATTACTCCAACTATGCCCATCTAATGAAGCCTTTTAAGTTCCTTGCAGCTGGGTACATATTATTATAGCTGTGAGGGATAATCGGCCTATCTCATGACTACCGGGACAGAAGTTCGAAACCCAGCATTGACACTACAATATTTCTTCAATTCACTTGAAAGTAATTTTGCCAAACAGACATGAAAAGTTTCCACTGTCCTGTATTCCCCATTTTCGTGACCCTGGACTGTTTGATTTCGATGCGCCTATTCGTGTATAGATGGCAGCATCATAAAGCTGCTTCAGAAAAAAGTCAGCCACAACCTAATTCCAATGCCAACTACCAAATGAAATTGGCATAGTTCCAACATCCAGTTAAAATTAATTTTTACGGTTTTGAAACCATGCTAGTTGTTTTACGGTCTTCTAACCATGCTAGTTGTAAATGGCTTCAAGGCAGTAATGGTAAAAAATGTTCTTTATCGTAAATTTTACTGTTAATTGCATGACCAGATTGATACCAGTTATTTTGCCTTATTTTCGAATGGAAATTCTAACACTGCATTTCTTTAGCATGTTATTAAAAAGTAAGAAAATACCAAGTAACAAAAGAGATCATATTTCTGTAAAATGTAACATATAAGTTACTTTTCCTCGATGATTTCTTATACCGTTATTTTATATTCAAATATTTGTGTTTGTGAACCTGAAGTAGAAATTTCTGTTATTCGTGTTTTTTTTAAAAATTAACATTTTTGTTTTGAAACTTCTGTCACCCCAAAATAATGAAAGTTTAGATTTAATAAGTTTTAATTGGACTCAAACTTTTTTAGAAAACATGATGCATCAGTGACATATTTTTATCAGAAAAATTTTTTCAAATCTGAAATGAAAATGTTTTTTGTTGTAAAAATTGCTGCAAACCACAACAGTAAGGTTTACATACAGTGTTAGAATTTTAATTCTAAAATGACAGTGAAATAAATGGTAATAGTTTCTTCATCGAAATAACCATGAAATTTATGGTAAAGAACATTTTTAAACTTTGCGATTTTGGAACCTTTTACAACTAGTATGGTTAAAAACTATGAAGACAAAACTATGCTGATTTTTAACCATTTACAACTAGCATGTTTTCCAAACCTTAAAAAAAATAACTAGACTTTGGAGTTAGTTAATGGGCATTGGAGTTAGGTTTTGGTTGAGTTGTGTTTCATGAAACGCACCATGGAATCTGGTTTTATTAGTTTATCTCGTCATTTCACACAACATGAAAGATGCTAGATATTTTTGCGTTAAGCAGGTTTATGATGCATAAACTCTTCATGTGTTGAAGGGAATTGAGGAAACAGTGTAGTGTCAACGGGAGCACACGAACCTTCATTCCGACGGTCATGACGTTAACAATTTGCCCCTCTCAGTAAATAAAGTTAAAGTATAATGATAACAAAAATAATAATAACAGATGGCAATATAATTCCTTGATTAAGTTATTTTTCGTATTTTTAAATAAAAGCATTAATGCATGATTTTTCATAATTTTAAATTATTCGCTATCAGCAATAAAATTTCCAACTTGAAATAAAAAATGTTTTTCTTGATACAAATTGCTGTAAACTCCACCATTAAAATGTGCATAGTACGACAAGTGTTTCAATTCTATTGGTGGCTACGTTGAAAAATAGCCTAAACATTGCTATACTTGTTGCCAATAAATATGTTCCTGAAAGTGGGAGTTCTTTTTTTTAAAAAAAAATCGGGAAACTTACTTTCTGGATGCGCCTCTTATATATATATAAAAAGCAGTTCCAATTTGTAGCAGAAATTAAACATATTCTCATTGAGACTTGGCATAATATTGATGCTATTGTCCCCCAGGGATAGCTGAACCCTATGCAACCATTATACATTCAAGCCATATTAAAAAAATGAAGGTTATTTTGGTTGTAATCGGAAGTGGCTTTATTTCGATGGCACATTTTTTAAAAATTGTTCGATGTTTTTTCTCCTGTTCAGGTGAAGCAGGAAGTATTTTACTCTTTGTAAATATGCGTTTAGCTATATACTTTCTTAATATATACAGGGTGTCTCAGTTAAGCGTTTCAGAACTTCTAACAGGGGTAGGGGGCATCCTGACGACTCGAAATCATATAGCAATGTGGGGTCGGAAATGCTTTCCTGAAGCGGTGACGTACACAGAAGCACCATAAAGAAAAGAGACCGTAAGTGAAAAATCGCTATAATAATACATTGAAAAAATTATATGGCCTTCTCGGTCACCCGACCTATCATGTCTTGATTTCTGGAGTCGTATGAAAACATTGGTTTATGAAACCCCTGTTGATAATGCTGGTTGCAAGAATCGCAGTAAATGCCTGCGAGATATGCCTAGAGTATTGCAGAATGTTCGAATGTCCATGCCCCGGAGATGTGAAGTGTACATTGTAGCCGGTGACAGAAGCTTCGAACACTTACTTTGGCCCATGTACCATATAATTTTTTCAATGCATTATTATAGCGATTTTTCACTTATGGTCTCTTTTCTTTATGGTGCTTCTGTGTACGTCACAGCTTCAGGAAAGCATTTCTGACCCCACATTGCTATATGATTTCGAGTCGTCAGGATGCCCGCTACCCCTCTTAGAAGTTCTGAAACGCTTAACTGAGACACCCTGTATGTTTGGTTCTGATCAGTTTTCTTTGTGAGCAGTTACAGAATAAAATCAATGCAGCTTTAAAGGGGGACACTGTGTGAGTAATATGTAATAACTGAAAGTTTGCTCATAATGCTTTGCAATAGTGTGTATTTGTCTGGCATAAGTCACAGTACTCATAGCAAGTAATGGAATGAAATTTACATTTTTAAAATCTTTTGCAGATAAGAAATTTCGGGGGTGATAGAAACAATTGCTTAGAAGGACCAGCTAAAGCAGACGATCTAAACCAACCAGTAAAGATGTCCAAATGCAATCTAAAAAACGATCACCAGGTAATGAGACATACTGGTAAATAAAATTATCAATTTCTTAATGATTCACCAATACTTAAACTCATGAACACAATTAAGAAATTTAAACTTAAATGCACACAGTTAAAAAAAATTTTTAGTCAAAGATAATTCCATGCAAAAAATAAATTGTAATAAATATTTATTAGTTTTTGTTATTTTATTAAAAAATTGGAGAAAAAAACTTTGAAATGCAAGGTATGAAATACAAAATTTGAGCAAAATCGGTCGAATACTTTCTGAGAAATCAATTTTTTAAAAAGTTCGTGTATTTAAGATATGATTTCTCTGAAGCAATTCCACCTATTTTGCTCAAATTTCGTATTTTCCATGTACAATTTAGTAAAAAATAATAAATATTTACTAAAATTTAATTTTTGCATGGAATTATCTTTGAATAAACAAATTTTAAAATTGAATGCAAAAGTTTTTCAAATCACTTAAAAAATTCTCGAAATATGGAAAAAGTAAAATTTACATAAGCGTTCAAATTTTGGATGGCTCTCCTAACCAAACTATAGGGAAACTATTATCCTCAATATTTTGGGGATTAGAAATCCGAATAAATCGAAAAAAAGATATGTTTATTCAGAGAAAGTACGTCTGATTTCGCAATTTAAAACATCGTTTGTGTTCACTAATTAGTATATCTTTAGTCACTCCCTTGAGCCATTAAGATTGAGTCTTAGAACATGAAGAACTGATCATTAGATCAAAAGTTATTCAGGGAGTCCATTTTTTTTCATTGTACTTGCCGAAGAGACCTTTAATGTCCAAACCGCAAAATTTAATTGGGAATTTATTATCCGACTTAAATATTTTTATAATTGAAGATACTACTAAGAGTTTGTTAATTTGTATTATCATGCATAAAAAAATGTTTTTAATGCATATAATGCTGTATAAATAATGTTTTTCCGCGAAATTTTAAATAAAATCCGAAAAACTTTCAAAAATACTCTTTCTTCAAAGCATAAATCAATTTATTTGCAATTATCTAGAAGAAGGAGTTTATAAGATAAACACATGTACTTTGGTGTTTTCAAAAAGAATTTTTTGACTCGCAAACATGAATGTTGACATATTTAAAACGAACGTTATTCGAAAAGTATGCAAACATACGTTGTTTTTATTATTCCTTGTATTCTGGCTTCATTTAACCTTCATTTATATTCAGTACTTCATTCTGACAAGCTATGGAGAAATCAGGCGAGATCAAGGCTGTTTGGATTATGTAAATGATGAAGTCGTTCTCTACTTTTGTTACGGTGTTGAAACTCAACTGTGGACCTACGACATTGAAGTAAGGGGTTGAGTTTGATTTGTTTCTAATTATGACATTATAACAGTTTATAAATGTTTTTAAATATATTTATTTGTGAGCTTTCTTTAAGATGTACTCCTCTGGCAAGCCTAACCTTTTCAGCATTGTTTATATGTACACTGTAAAATAGGGTTTTCTCAAAATTGAATAAAAAATTGCCAAAATAGTTCCAAAGCAAATCTGAGTTTGAAAATCACATATACTCTTTATTGCGTAAAGGAAGGTGCTTAAAATAGTATTTGTGAGACAATGACCCGTTTTATTCAACAACAAATGACTCAAAATAACTCAAACGAATGCATGATGCGTGATTTTTGTGACTATGTATTTTGCTTAAATATTATGCCTCTATCACACGAGAGAAAAATATGTGCAACTGCAAGTGTAACTGCAAGTGTAAGTGCAACTGTAAGTGAAATTCCTCCGTTCGGAGTTGCCGAAAGGGTTGCTTAATTGCCTGATTGGGTTACCTGTAAGTGAAATTCTGTAAGTGAAATTCCTTAATTGCTTAATTGCATGAAATTGGGTTACCATATTTTGTTATTTATCTTTACTTTTGGCTCATATTTAATTTTATCATATGATTCTATTATATCATAGTTTCTCAACGATGTTCGTAAAGATGCTGTAGAATATTAATTGATTTTGATTTAATTTTTTACATTTGTATTTGTGTTAAGTCTTTTCTTCAGCAGGAAATTAAAATTCTGAAAACTTTATTTCCCCATTAGTGAAGTAGCATAGTATAAAAAGGATTATGATTTCTACCTCATAATATGAGATGAGACACTTTGTTAAACTCTGC